TGGAGAGGGAAGCCTGGTGTGCTGCAGTCCATGGGGTTGCAAAGAGTTGGACATGACTGAGTGACTGAACTGAACTATTGTGCATGCTGGGAACCTGTATACCCGTGTGCAGGAGGCTAAGGGCCCCACAGTAATGACCCTGCACACCAGCGGAGTGTTCTGAAATTTAAAGAATGACTCACCCACAGCCAATGTAAGCCTGATGATAAATAACCTTCCCATTTCATAGACCTGGAAAGTGAAGTTCAGGGTTAAGTGCCTTGCCTAGGATTCCTAAAGCTAGGACTCAAACCCAGGTCCTCTGCCTTTCAAACCTGCAGCCTCCTGACTTGAGGAGGCCAGAGATTCATTCCATTTTCAATCTGTTGCCTTTTCCCAAGAACAGCCTAGGAGAAAGTGAAAAGAGGAATGAATCTTGACCTCTTCTCACCTTCCCTAGGTTCCCAGAGGCAACGGATGCAGACAGGGTAAGAAGAGGCACTGTGACAATGCACAGAGGTGGGGCAGCTGGGGTCTAGAGGTAAAAGTTCCAGATTCAAGTCTCAGTTTGAAAGGAGAGAAGCAAATCCAGCAGGTGCATTCACTACCTTTTAATTATTCACCTTTGTGCCCAGGACCAACTTGGAGCTACAGAGATGCTGGGGAAAATGTGTGATGAGTAACTGTAACACAAGCATGCTTAGTTGTGTGTGATTCTTTACCCCATGGACTGCAGCCCACCAGGTTCCTCTGTCCATGGATTTTCCAGGCAAGAATACTGGAGTGGGTTGCATTTCCTCCTCCAGGGAATCTTCCTGACCTGGGGATTGAACTCACATCTCCTACATTACAGGCAGATTCTTTACCTGCTGAGCCATCAGGGGAGCCCAAAAATGTATGATGAGTCTTTGTTAAGCATGAAAAATTCTGGATGGAGGGTGGGAAGGAGGTTTGAGATAAATTAAGAGTTTGGGATTAACACATACATACTACTATATATAAAATAGATAAACAACAAGGGCATTACTGTATAGCATAGGGAGCTATATGTCATGTCTTGTAATAGACTCTGAAAAAGAATCTGAAATCTGTATGTATGTATGTAACTGAATCACTTTGCTGTACATTTGAAACTGACACAACATTGTAAATTAACTATCCTTCAGTTGAAAAATAGAAAAAAAAAAAAAAGTTCTGCAGTGGTGGGACCCTGCCTCTGAAAGAGGAAAGACGCCCTGGAACACAGGCAAGGGCTCCCTTTGCCCACAGCAAGGCAAAGACCGGAGAAGAGCCAGAGGACTAGAGGGGAAGAAACCCAAGGTGAAAACAGGAAGGAAAGAGTAGAGGAGGAGGGACGGGAAGCTGGGCTAAGAGGTCTCCCTGATGGTAGATCCTGAGTTGTGGTCTGAGTGTTGCCAAGAGAGGCTTCCCTGGTGGCTCAGATGGTAAAGCATCTGTCTGCAATGCGGGAGACCTGGGTTCGATCCCTGGGTTGGGAAGATCCCCTGGAGAAGGAAATGGCAGCCCACTCCAGTACTCTTGCCTGGAAAATCCCATGGGCGGAGGAGCCTGGTAGGTAGTCCATGGGGTCGCAAAGAGTTGGACACGACCGAGCGACTTCACTTTGCCAAGAGGGGCTTCCAAGATGGCGCTAGTGGTAAAGAACTCGCCTCCCAGTGCGGATGTTAAGAGATGCAGGTTTGATTCCCGAGTTGGGAAGATCTCCTAGAGCAGGGCATGGCAACCCACTACAGTATCCTTGCCTGGAGAATCCCATGGACAGAGGAGTCTGGCGGGCTCCATAGGGTCACAAAGAGTCAGACACGACTGAAGTGACTTAGCAGGCATGCTGCCAAGACAGCAAGGTTTTTAAACCCAAGATCAATAAGAGCTATTCACTACAGGCCTGATCTGTACAATTGTGCCTTGTGAGCTGTAAAAATTTAGTTTCATTTTTTCTGCTTGAAAGCAGAAGGACCAAATGACAACTGCTTGCTCTTGCTCTTCGGTAACAGGAAAACCCCCTGCTGAGGCCCCGGATTATCTGGCTTCCTTGACTGCCAGCCTCAGGTGAGGATTCTCCTGCATCTAGATTGGCTCAGAACGGTGCATTCGAGTGCTCCCAGGAAGCTGACCTCTATCTACCCATCAACACTTCCCAAACTTTATAGGACTGTAAATATTCTCACTGCTCCCACTCTGAGGAAGTCCACGCCCAAGGGCAAAGCCACTTGTTCAACAGCCAAAAAGTAGTCTCTCCATTCCCAGCCTGTTCCGGTGTCCCTGGAGTCCCCTTTCCAGAGACACCAGACTTCCTGTGTGGTCTTATTCAATTGTGGTCCCAAGCGAGAAAGAGAGAGAGAAAGAGATGGGGAGGGAGAGAGAGAGGGAGAAAGGAAATCCAGTTGCTCACTCCACCATTATTCAACAAGATTAATGCATTTCATGCCCCCAAAGTTTTATCTCACAAGGCAGTAAGCTCTGGGCATAGAGATTCTTTCTGTGTCTTGCTACACCAAATGGACCTGGCGCAGATTTTAAAAAGTTTCCTCCAAATTCCTCCTTGTTTACTTTACATTCCAGCTGTTACATAATCCTCACTCTTACACTCACTTCTCTGATAACGTAATATGGAAGAATCTTGTCTGTACGCTATTGCAAGTTAATCACTGAAGGGATATTTGCCTATAAACTTAAATTATACATAACGGCTCATCTCTGGGAGCCCTGCTTCCCAGGTAATGAACATTGAGCTAAAGTATTAATACCTTTGTTTAGCTCCCAGAAAACCTCCTGACCAAACCTGTGAATGACTGCAGGGAACAAGACACTAACACATCCCCTTTCGAGGCTGATGGAAACCAGAAGTGTTCGACTTTACTCCTGCCCCTTCAGTATAAAAGGATCCTGAATTCTAACTCAGGCAAGATGGATCTTTGGGGCAGGAGCCCACTGTCTTCCCAGTTTGCTGGCCTTAGGTAAAAGGTCCTTATTCCTTGCTGCAACAACTGTCTCTTGACTATTAGCTTGTCATACAGTGAGCAGTACAAGCTTAGACTTAGTATGTTGCAGTAAATAACACTCCATTGCATTTATCTAATGCTTGCAGTTTATGAAATGCCTTGCCACCTAAGAAAATATATTTATTTAACACTACGGAATAAATGGGCTTCCCTTTCCCTGGTGGCTCAAACAGTAAAGAATCTGCCTGTGATGTGGGAGACCCGGGTTTGATCCCTGAGTGGGGAATATCCCCTGGAGAAGCAAATGGCAACCCACTCCAGTATTCTTGCCTGGAGAATTCCATGGACAGAGGAGCCTGGCGGGCTACAGTGCATGGGGTTGCAGAAGAGTCGGACACAACTGAGCGATTAAAGAAAACAACGGAATAAACAGACCAATCCACCAGACCAGTCCACAGGCTTTTGACTTTTCCTTCTAGGAAACTTTTCAATGACGACTCAACCATGGGCAGGAACCTTCAGAACTTATTAATGAAGTCATGGCAGGACTCCAACCGAGAGTCAAGTCTTTACTTAGGAACTCGTCTTACGCCACCTCCTCACACGGTTGTATAAAGGTCCCAATGAAATAATAAACTGATGGTGCTTAAAAATCTTATACCCACTTAAGTCACGATCACTTTCACAGCCCCAAGGGCTTAAGCCAAGTTCACAAGCAGGTAAAATGGGATGGGGCCAAAAGCTATTACTTACCCTCTGCTGGTCAAAGCAAGGAGCCAAGTAACAGCTTAGATTACAGCTGTCTGACCTGACCCCATCCTTTGACTCTGCCTGTCCCGAAGAGATAGAAGAGGTAGGGAGATGTAGAACTCCATCCACTGACAGGCCCACAGAGCTTGGACAGCAAAAGCCCAATCAGCTCAGCATGCCAGACCTTCAGGTGGGATGAGCTATGTCAAGTTGATCCCTCCCTAGTCACTCTCCCAAGTTCTCCTCGCTGTCAGACTTCTCTGCTTCCGGCTCACTGCCACCAAGAGTGGTCCCTTTCTTTCCTCCCTGCCTCTCTGAGTTCAGGGGCAGGTGGGGGAAGAGGGAGCGCGATAGCGGTGCTGTGCAGTCACAGAGCTGCCGGTTTGGTGAGTCAAGTTGAGGGTGAGATGGGCAGCCCTGGCTCGGGGAAGATCCTAGGGCGCCCCTACCTCTCCCAGGGAAGGATGAAGGAAGGGCATTCTTGGCAGGATTTGAGAACAGAGGACCATTGAGCTGAAATCCCAGAGTAACCTCGGGTGCAGCCGGATCTGTTGCCAGCCTGGTGCTGCTATAACGTCCCGTCCCAAGGCCCCTCTCCACCTGGGTTTTGCAAACTCCAGCCCTTTTTCTTTCCACCAGTTTCCATCAGCACCGTCTCCTCCCTCCCCTTCAAGATCGCCGACATCTGCGGGGGGTGGGGGCGAGGAGGGGGGGTCTCGGTAGTCTCAGAAAGCGTGGGAACAGGAGCTACCAGGCGGGGTCTCCGAGGCAGCCATTGCGGACCTTCTGAGACTGCAATTCCAGCCGGGGACGAGCTTTCCTTCCCCGCCCCCTTGTCTGGCCGGAGAGTGGGGGACGCGCGCGGAGTCCTACACCTGGCTCCTCTCCCGCTCCTCTCCGCGGGACCCAGGGGCGGCCATCTTCCACGCTGGGGGCGCTAAAGTCTCAGGGTCCCGGCGCCCCGGTTTGGGGGAGTTCCCAGGCTCCGGCTGAACTCGGAGGAAGGAACGGACGCAAGGGTCCGAGCGCGCGCGGTAGATCCTGCACGGATCTCCACCGCTTGGATCTGCCTCCGGGGCTCCAAAATCCGAACCCCAAGGCACGCTGACCCAGCTGTGCCACGGGACGAGGATTCGGAGGGGGAGGTGAGCGCCGTAGACACTTTTCCTTCCCACCGGGACGGCTCCCCGCCCCCCCCCCCCCAAGCTCCACTCGGCGCTGGAGGTGTTGTCTGACGTCCTGAGACCCACGGCTCCTGCCTCCCTCCTTCAGCGGAGAAGGGTGGCGGGAGAGGCCCCAGGCCCTTACCGTAGCATCTTCCCCGGCGTAGTGCCCGATAACCCGCTGGCCCCCGGGGTGCCGGCTGGACCATTGGGTGATGTTGTAGACCTTGCGATCGATGACCAGCCACTTGTCGGTGCGCAGGTTGTGCTTCTGAATCTCCTCCCAGCGGAAGGTAGGCATCGGCGCCTCAAGCCCGGCGGCCCCCTCGCCCTGGTTCCCCCTGTTCCCCATGCTGCCTGACCGGGTGGCCCAGTGCACTGAGGTGAGTGCGGTCCGGACCTTTATCGCTTTCGGCTTTTGTCTTCTCCTCCTCCCACGACGTCCCCTCCCCCAGCCTCCTCGCCTAGCTCCGGAGTATCCCTGCCTTTCCTCTCCGCTTCCAAGTGCCCCGAAGCGGTCCCCTCCCTCTGGCCCTTCCTCCGCCTCCCTCACCCCCCACCCCCCCACCCCCCCCAACCCGAGCTCGCAGCGGACTTTTGCCTCCAGAGAAAACTCCTGGGTAGCTCAGGGCCTCGAAGCCTTCTTTGCCCGCCCCTCCGCCTCCCCCCGCCCGGGACTCCGCATCCTCCCGCGTTCCCCTCCGCCTGGGTTTCCACAGTGATCAGCAGAGCGCCTGCACCAATCCGGGCACGTCGCCCCTCCTGCCATTGGCCCAGGAGGATCTTTCGAAGGCCAGCGGGCTGGGGCAGCGGTTCCCGGCTCCCCCGCCAGCCGGGCCACTCGGAGTCCTGAGGGGCCGGGAGGCCGGTTACGTGTCCGAACTCCTCCCTCCCCCCACTTCAGCCCCGGGCGCCCGAGGAGATCCCAGGGGAGCCTGGCGGGCATGAGGGGGCGGCGGTTGGGGTTCCCGGCGCTTACGCGCATGCCGGCGACCCGCGCTCCCGGGTGTGCACCTGATGCCCGCACAAAGAGGGCCGCGCGGCTCCGCGCGCTTTGCGGTGGGGACCGGCCCAAGGCCGGGCTGGAGGGCGCGCAGGCGCGGCCAAGCCACCGGGCGGGCTATTTCCACTGGGACCAGCCTGATTAGATGACGCCCTCCCCTAACCCGCTGGAATCGGTACTCCAATATCTCCACACTGTGCTCGCTGTCCACACTGGCGCCCTCCTGCAGCCTCCCTGGGGGAACGCCAGCCTGCGGCTGGCCCAGGGCTCCAAAGCCTGTAATCAGTGGATCTTAGAAAAGAATTGTGGAACCTCTTATGTCCTTCCTTGTGTTCGGCGCCATGGTGGGGAGAGGACGGAGGGGGACGCCGTGGTGGGGACGCGAGGACTTGGTTCTGGCCCTGAACTCAGGAATCTCGCAGTTGGGAAGAAATACTATGGAAATGATACAGGACCTCCTACGATGAACTGTTCAGTGCTGTTATACAGACTCCGGGAGATAAAGATGGGGATATCTAAAGAATAGGCCTGTGCAGGCCCCCAGGGCTAATGGACCGAGCTGCTTGGGATTAGTGCCCTAGTGAAAGGATTGCCTGGCTTAGAAAGCTGAATTTCTCTACCCTCCCAGGTTTTTGCCTAGTCTAATAACTAAAATGATGTAAGATATTACCAGGAGAAAAAGAAACATTTAATAGTATGTATACCTCCTGTAGGGCTTCCCTGAAGGCTTGGATGATAGAATTTGCCTGCAATGCAGGAGACCCAGTTCTGATCCCTAGGTTGGGGGACATCCCCTGGAGAAAAGAATGGCAACCCACTCCAGTATTCTTGCCTAGAGAATTCTGTGGACAGAGGAGTCTGGTGGGCTACAGTCCATGGGGTCACAAAGAGGCAGCCAGGACAGAGGGACTAACACTTTCACTTTTTCATACCTCCTGTATACATGTGAGATACTCAGAAAAACTGAGTAACTCCCTGAAAATTGCATGGTTCAAGCTCTTCACCCTAAATACCATCTTCAGTAAAAAAAAACAAAAGATGTGGGACTTCTCTGGTGGTCCACTGACTAAGACTCCGCTCTTCCATGAAGGGGGCCAGATTCCATCCCTGGTCTGGATCCCATGTGCCACAGCTAAGAGTTCACATGCCGCAGTTAATATTTACAACAACAGACAAAAGATGTTGGGGGTGGGGGTGGAGACCTGTGGAAGGTCACCAGGAAAAGCACAGTAAACAAGGTTAGGTTTTGTGCGGTTTTGAGGCCTTATCTTCTGCACTGGACTTGAGTTTGAGTAAACTTTGGGAGTTGTTGATAGACCGGAAGGCCTGGTGTGCTGCAGTCCATGGAGCTGCAAAGAGTCAGACATGACTGAGCTACTGAACTGAACTGAACTGAACTTCTGCACTGGTAAGTGTTTCTAGAAGTAAGGTCATCTTCCTCTTCCTGGTACATTGAGGGAGGTACCCTTACAGACGGAGATTTACCCTGTACATGTGAACGCCTCTTACAAAACGGTAACTTCTACTTAGTTTTCAGAGCTTCTCATGGTCTGCAGTTTCTTAAAAGTAATCAGCCTGAAATAGCCTTATGCCAAAGAGTTAAATTCTGTGGTGGCAAATTTTGTTCCTGTATAGCAGGAAATTCCTTTGAAAATTTCCCAAGATGTCTCACAGCCCAGAAACTAAGTTGATAGATTGGTCCATGCCACGTTGAACCAGTTTCCCAATGGTGAGACTAGGTCAGTTCAGTTAGAGTTATATGTCTCATTTCAGGTGGTAAGTGATGCAACTGAGTCCCCAAAGTTAGCCCTATATTGTGCAGGAAATCAGGGGTAATAAGAGGAATTTCTTTTTCTTTTTTAACTTTTAATTTTCTATAGGGGTATAGACGATTAACAATGTTGTGATAGTTTCAAGTGAGGGACTCAGCCATAAACATATGTGTATCCATTCTCCCCAAACTCCCCTCCTATCTAGGCTGCCACATAACACTGAGTAGAGTCCGTGTGCTATACAGGAGGTCCTTGCTGGTTATCCATTTTAAATCCAGGATCGTGTACAAGCAACCATACGTTCGTTCTCCAAGTTTGTGAGTCTTAATATGAGGAATTTCTAAGGAAACAAAGTGAATGGTTGGAGCAAGTTATAACCCAATGTCTGAGTCCTGAGAGCTGCCAGTGAGAGCTGACATCAGTTCTAGATGTCAGACTCAAAGCATCTTCACATGGAGTGAGGGCAAGTGGTGGCAATCAGATTCTCCTGATTTGCAGTTTGAATGTCTGATGATATCATGCATGCTGGTGGCCCATCGAATTTTTCTGAATGGCCCAGACAACAACAAACACAAAGAAGATTGTCTAAACATGAGGCATTGTGGCAATTTCTCTGAAGTTTATATGAAGTCATTCAGTCTGTATGGTTTCAAGGAAAAGAGCAGCCTTTGTTCTTGGTGATTCCAAGTCAGAAGGTTGGGAGAAAATTGGAAAGTTTATTTTGGAGCATCATAACCAGATATTGAAGGAAACTAGTAGAATTCAGGATCCAGTTCAGTTCACAAGTAAATAACAAAATCTCAAAGACAATGAACAGCACTAGAGTCTGATATCTACAAAGGTGTGCTATTGAAACAATTTTTCTCTTTAAAATCACCCTGTTCAGTCATTAAGTTGTGTCCAACTCTTTGCAACCCCTTGGACTGTAGCACGCCAGGCTTCCCTGTCCTTCACCGTCTCCTGGAGTTTGTTCAAACCCATGTCCATTGAGTCGGTGATGCCATCCAATCATCTCATCCTCTGTTGCCCCCGTCTTCTCCTGTTCTCAATCTTTCCCATCATCAGGGTCTTTTCCAATGAGTCGGCCCCTCGCATCAGGTGGCCAAAGTATTGGAGCTTCAGCATCAGTCTTTCCAGTGAATTTTCAAGGTTGGTTTCCTTTAGGATTGACTGGTTTGATCTCTTTGCTGTCCAAGGGACTCTCAAGAGTCTTCTCTAGCATCACAGTTCAAAAGCATCAATTCTTTGGCACTCAGCCTTCTTTATGGTCCAACTGTCACATCCATACAAGACTACTGGAAAAACCATAGTTATACAGACCTTTGTCGGCAAAGTAATGTCTCTCCTTTTTAAGATGATGTCTAGGTTTGACATTGCTTTTCTTCCAATGAGCTTTTGGAAGCTCATTTTAATTTCATGGCTGCAGTCACCATCCACAGTGATTTTGCAGCCCCCAAAATATAAGCTGTCACTGTTACTACTTTTTCCCCATTTATCTACCATGAAGTGATAGGACTCGAAGCCATGATCTTAGTTTTTGGAATATTGCATTTTAAGCCATCTTAAAATCACCTTAATTTCTACCAAAGATAGACAAATTAAGGCCAGTTTGTTTGCAAAAGAAGTATAGCCTCATCAGACTTGGCCAGATTATATACATAAGTGCAGCAAGAATAGTGATTGATTGTGTAGGCTCTCTAAAATCTGGTTTGAGGGAACTTTATATAAGGAAACTTCAGAGTGAAATTTTCACAGCTTCTTGAGGTCAAGAAGCCAAGCCAAGGACCAGCCATTGTGAAAATTAATTAACAGAAACCTCATTTAAGATGGAGTTGGGAGGTCAGAAGAGGGAGCTCTCATGCCCCACCATTCAATGTCAACTGCAAACCCGATAGAAAGTACTTTGACTGTATAATCCATGGGGTCGCTGAGTCAGGCATGACTGAGCAACTTGCACTTTGCATCTCCAGTGGAAGAAGGTTACTCCTTAACGCCCAGCAGGAGGAAGGAAGAACTTCTCCTTGCCCTGCAACAGCCCAGCCAACGAGAGACTGTCACAGCTCGGCCAATGAAAAGTCACTACATTTCAAACTTCCTGTTTCTTCCGGTGGACTCTTTGTTTATATCAGCCCCTCCCAGCTTCCCTTTCTTTTCTATCAAAGGATGATTTTGAAACTGCTAGGTGGCATTCGGCAAGAGGCAAAGTGATAGCTAAGAAGTGATTTATCAGATTAGGACACTTGTGGTACTTACAAGTGGGTAGGAGAGAGGATGTTGTGCCCTGAGAACTTAGTGGGCTACAGTTTTATAATCAAAGGAAAAGTGTGTGGGGTGGGGGTGGGGGAAAGACCACTTTATTCCTCGTTCTTGAGTAGACGTCACGATTCCATCATCAGCTCCTCCTCCAGGTTGGGCAGTGGAGTTTTCATATCCCTACATGGTCAAGCCTGGACTGTCATGGCACTATGGAAAAATAATTTCGGGTCTCAGTACAATGAGGAACTTTCACTTTGAAGTGTCACCTTTCCAGAAATTGTTGTTTTTTATGTGTGCAAAGAGCATGTCCTAGAGGTCATT